CTGTGGTAGGATTGTGTGAAACCTGGTTATACTCTGTACAGGACTATAGTACTTTCCTTTCAGAGACACATCAACTGTTTGCTACATGTAGAGACAGACAGAAGCATGGAGGAGTTGGTGTGTTTATTGACAAACGTTTGTGCTGTACAAGAATACTCTCACACATTCAGATGCTGTCTACTTACTGTTTGACAAGAAAATCTTTGGCTATGTCAGAGATGTAGTGATGGGAGTGTGTTATGCGTGTCACCAGAATACTCACAGTACTATGTTGGAAAAGACAGTGATAGTTTAGACTCATTAGACGAATGTCTTCATGATATCCAATCCTGTTATGATGCTGATATTATTCTTACAGGAGACTTTAATTCTAGAACAGGTACCAGTGATGACTATATTATTGATGACAATGCTGACTATCTTCCTGGTGGTGAGTGGTATGACACTGATGATTTACATATCAAGAGACACAACAGAGACTCAGAAGTCAATAACTTTGGTCGACGTCTTTTAAACACCTGTATCTCACATTCTCTACACATTGTTAATGGGAGATTTCAGGGTGACGCCTTTGGTGATTTTACAAGTGTTTCATGCAATGGGCAAAGTGTTGTAGATTATTTGATTGTAAGTTCATCTTTGTTCCCAGTGATTGATAATTTCAGTATTGGTACTCTGGATGATTCAGATCATTTCCCAGTGATAGCTGAACTTGTAGTAAAATATACCAGCACGGAGAATGAAGATTGTGCGACAAACACGACACCCTACAGCAAATACAAGTGGGACTCTAGGTATAGTGACACATTTCAGGAACTCATCAGAGACGAAACTGCAAGAGAATATATTGAGGAGATAATCCATCAAGTTGATAATGACATAGATGAGGCAGTGCACTTACTTAATAACTTCTACAATAGAGCTGCTGGATGCATGAGCAGACAACAGAAGTCACGTGATCAACAGCTGAAGACACAACCTCCATGGTGGGATACTGACTGTGAAACAGCAAAACGAGATAAATATTGTGCTCTGGATAGACTCAGGGTAACTAATGTCCAACAAGATATTCTTAACTATAAACGACTCAAATCATTTTTCAAGGATATTTGTAAAAAGAAGAAAGAAGATTTTGAAAAGTGTATATCTGACAAGCTCATCACAACTAGACAAAATATTGATGACTTATGGAAGGAATTAAAGAAACTAACATCGACAACTTCTCATAATAGTATCAGTGGACAAGAGTGGAGCAAGCATTTTCAGACTATATTAAACAGTGAACAAACGGAAACAACAATGGAAGATACAGTAAGCCATTTCTTATCTCAGCATGATAACCAGTGTTTACAGTGCGAGGACAACACACCGGATGTTCTAAATGCACATATAACTCTAGCTGAGGTAACAAGAACAATCAGAGAACTGAAGAGGAACAAGTCGCCTGGTTGTGATGGTATTCCCTCTGAATTACTTCTTCATTCTGCTGATGTTATAGCGCCTGTACTTTTACGCCTCTTCAACAAGATTCTTGAAACTGGAAACTTTCCTGATGACTGGTGTAAAGCAATTATATGTCCTATCCACAAGAAAGGATCTTTGAGCGACGCAAACAACTACAGAGGGATCTCACTTCTATCAATAATTGGGAAGGTCTTTACAAAAATATTGAGCGAAAGATTACAGCAATGGACATCTGATAATGATATCATATATGAAAACCAGGCTGGATTTAGGAAGGGATACGCAGCGGTAGATAACATGTTCACTGTGTATGGAATGATCAGGAAATACCTCTCCAAGTCTGGTGGACGATTATACTGTTTCTTCATAGACTTCTCGAAGGCTTTCGATAACGTAAACCATTCTCATCTTTGGTATCGACTTATCACCTATAACATACATGGTAATATTCTGACAGTCCTACGGAATATGTATTCCAAACTAAAATCCTGTGTAAAAACCTCCAGTGGTCTGACGGAATTCTTCCAGTGTTTTCAAGGAACTAGACAAGGTTGTATGCTAAGCCCGCTTCTCTTCAGCTTATTCATAAATGAACTGACAACGGAGATGATAACATCAGCATGTAGAGGCATACACATCTGCTAATGATAACCCAAATGTTTGTTCTCTCTTGTATGCAGACGACGTAGCGAATACCACAGATACGGCGGGGAGGCTCCAGCAGCAGATTGATGTGCTCAGTACCTTTTGTGATAAATGGGGACTTTCGCTCAATCTAGATAAATCCCAGATCGTTGTGTTTAGAAAAGGGGATACCTTGAACTATGAGAAATGGTTCTACAAAGGCACACGGATCCAGGTCGTGTCCTTCTACAAGTATCTGGGACTCGTATTCACTTCCCGAGGAGTATGGACTCGTGCAACAACAACATTAGCACAGCAAGCTGAGAAAGCGTGTCATCTCATATACAAGCTCCATTACAAGTGTGGTGGATTGCCTTTAGGTGTTGCTGTAACTCTTTTGAAAGGATGATACTTCCTATCCTCACCTATGGTGCTGAAATCTGGGGACTTCAACGAGTGAAACATATTGAGAGAGTTCAACTTAAATACTTCAAGAAAATGATCTATGTCCCCCAAAATGCATGCAATGTCGCTGTTCTCGGTGATTGTGGAAGAAAGACAGTCTTTGTCACACAAGTTATCAAGGTACTAACATTTTGGACTAAGCTAATTATAATGGACAATAGCCGACTTCCAAAGCAGACTTATATCATGCTATATGGACTAGACAAGGTGCATCGTTCATCATGGGTGACATATGTCAGAGAAATCTTATTCAAATATGGATTCGGTTACACATGGATAATGCAGGACTTTGGAGATAAATTAAGCTTCTTATCAGAAATAAAACAACGAATCAGTGATGTAGACATTCAAGAATGGCAAAGCGATATCAGTAACAACTCTAAATTGTCTTTTTATTCAACTTATAAATCTGTCTTAAATGTCGAAATATATTTAACACACATAAATGTAATGGATATACAGACAAGCTTTATCAAGATTTAGATGCGGATGTCACAACCTAATGATTGAATTAGGCGAAGAATCGGAATGGATGAAGAATTAAGAATATGCTCTCACTGCAGCCGATATGGAATCCATCAAATTGAAAGCGAGTATCATTTTTTATTAATCTGCAAAGCCTTCACCCAACTCCGAAACTCCTATATTCACTTTCGATGTATCACAACCATCCCTCAGTTACAACATTTGCTAATCTAATGAACACCAAATGTCCTAAAACACTGTTAAATTTAAGTAAATATGTATTCATTGCCTTTAAATTATATCCTTATCTTCACCAATAATCTACATGCTGTTTGTTTAATCTACTGCTATACTCTCTCATATTGTACGCTTCTATTCTTGTAATTTAAACTATTTTGTATATATCCTGTATATATTACAAATGTATATTTATTGTATATATTGCAAATGTATGTCATTTGGGCCAGTGGCCTTTGACTTGAATAAACATCAATCAACTCACGAGGTCCTGCTCAAGGACAGGGCCCTGGGGGTCACGCCGCGCATGGGTGGTCCATCAGGGGACATGATGGTGTGCTTCCAGAGGACCTATGCCAGGTCAGTCAAATATTTCAACTTAATGTAGATGACAAAAAAAAGATGAGCGTTACATAGAATGTGTCTTTGTCATTGAAGGTAAGGTATGGGATGATTTATAGTCCATTAATTGTTTTGTGTGTAATTTAAAAAAATCTGCATGAAGCTGTGTTAAAAGTCGCGAGGGAAATGTATTTTCTCCATGGAAGGTCAGTCGCCTTTGAGGGAGCTACAGGCAAAATGACTTTCTGTTTATTGCATTTTACATCTTTGCAGATGCTTCAATCATAAGGATTTCATTGTGCAGGTATGGGTGGTCCAATGGGTGGTCCAATGCCAGGAGGTCATCGTGACATGGTGGGACCCTACCCTGGTCAGCCTCAGAGATCAGAGTTCCGTGACCAGAGGATGATGGGGAGATCCACTTAAGCATGCCGCAGCACCAAGCAGGACCAGGCATGCAGGGGGGACATGGAGGACAAGGAGTGTCCATGAGACCACAGGTTAGAGAAACATGGCACAGTGTGCCCTGTGTTGATGAGCAGTGGCGAGGGAGCCAGCTGTTAAATCAATAACTTGTCACTCAATACAGGGCGGATCCAAGATTTCGGAGAAGAGGGGGTGCACATAAATCATGATTCTGAACATGGTTACAGGGTGTGAATTGCACATGCTCTTGTATTCTCTATATTGACTTTGCTAAAATATTAGCTAGGTATTCCCTGAATTGACTAAAATATTAGCTATAGGTGATATTGCATATCCTTCGTGAACGCTTCTGGGTTGGCCTTCTTCACAAGGTTAGTGTCTAGTTGTTCGCCTCAACGCAAAGAGGGGACTATGTATTCAGCAGCTTCCGTGACGCACGTAGGGCGTCCGATTCTTGTTAACACGATATCTCATGAACTGTTGTACCCAATGTCTTCAAATTTGGTGACAGCCTACATTGGGGATTACACAGACACCAGTTGATTTGGGTGACCTTGACCTTTTCTTCAGGGTCACCACGACGCTTTGACCTCTTTTCAAACTCTCGTTAACGCTGATATCTCATGAACTGTTGTACCCAATGTCATCAATTATGTCGACAGCCTTCATTGGGTATTTATGCAGACACCAGTCATTTCAGGCATCTTGTATGTGAAACAAACACACACACACACACACACACACACACACAAAAAAAAGTAGTAAATGTGTTATACATATTCCATTCTTTAGCGGTAGGGGACATTGCCATATCAGTGGCAAACACTTGTTTTACATGTATCAACAGTTAGATATCGATATACATTGTGTATTTCATATTGACAGACCCTAACATAATATTTCATATTTAGATGGTTCCTCCTCCTCAGCAGGCACCGATGCAGTCAGCCTTGGGAGCATTAGGTGCATTGGGTAACCCTAGGCAACCTAGGCCAGCTGTCCGCTGGGTGTGATGTCCGGTCTGGGCGGTGGACTGGGAGGACCGGGGACTCAGATCTCCCCACAGGACCAGGAGAAGGTCAGTTGATCACCAGGCTCAACTCACATAATTTTACCCCTATCTAAAGTATTATGATCACTTCTGGGAAGTCATAATAACAGTAACTGCATTAGGAGCTCATCTTGTGGTAGAACAAGAGTATTTTACAAAAAATTGTTTATGAATCTGTTCCTTCTTGTCTGCTGGTCTGAAGACAGTTGTAAAACCATTCTCAAGACTGTTCTTTTTAATTTCCAAGGATGATTACTTTCCATAAGCAAGTGTAGTTATGCTGTAGGGATTGTTATTTGACCCTCTTACATTCCATGATGTGCAACCTTTAACCATTAATGTTTTGTGATTGCTGACTCCACATGTTGTGTGACCCCTCAACCGTAATGTTGTATTGACCTCTTTAGTGGTCATGTGTGTGACCCCTGACTTTCTATGTTGCAGGCTGCCCTCATCATGCAGGTGTTGCAGCTGACCGACCAGCAAATCTCCATGCTGCCACCAGAGCAGAGGCAGAGCATCATCATCCTAAAGGACCAGATTGCCAAAAGTGCCCAGTAGACCAGCCAATCACAGTGGGGAAACTGGCTGCCGTCTTACAACTGGCTGTATTATTGGAAAAATCAATCAATCACATAGGCCCAAAACACATTCAATGTTAATATACACCTTGAATGACCATGGAACATATCTTGGTTGTCATCTAAGCATTAAAAAAATAATTATTTTAAACTTCTCATCTGCCTGGAATAAAGTGCCCAGAGACCATGAACACATTTCTGCCATTCAGTGTCTGATTGGCCTGGAGTATTTCAGACAAACACAACATTTTCTTTCTTTGTCAGGTAATCTATTCATACATACAGATCTGCAGAAGGTTCACCTTGTATTTCATTGTCATGTTCTGAATAAACAATCAAAATCACCATTTTATTTGTATGTCCTTGTAAAGTGGTCACATTTTTTATTTCTGTTTTAAAATCTTGAAAATGCATAAATGCTTAGTATGCTTGAGAAAGGGGTGGACTGCTTGTGCTTTATTCACAAAATAGATATCTGGGCCTTTTGAATTGGCCAGATGCATATAACGTTGGTCTAGCTTATATCAACCATCAGGGTTAGAATTGGACCAATCTCAGCAACCCATGCTTGTCAGAACAGGGGCGATACTGTATCTGGTGATCAGAACCACCAGACTCCCCGGCTTTGGTTGAAGTCACAAACAACAGTAACAACCTATTTTGTTGAATGAACTCGTACAGCCATCATAGTTTGCTGAGGACCAATTCTAACTTGGAATATCCATCATTTGGTAGTCAGACAGTTGTAGCTCTGGGACGATATTAAGAAGTTCGTCCAGCCCTTCTTGATGACCACTGATCCCCTAAAAATCCTGTTTGTTCGGGACAGTTGTGTTTGATTAACCCCACATCAGCAATAATCAAGCGAATTATGACAACAGTCATCTTATTGTTCTGAACACCCTGTGTCGGTAATGCCCTCAGACTACTGATGGATCTCGGCTGAAACGTCCAACACCCATATACTTTGTTAAATCATTCCCATTTGCTATTTCTTCTCTTAACTATATGCTACTACCATTGTCAGATTTTTGAAAGCTTAACAAAGTCCTTGAAAATTATAACCTTAATCAAATTAATTTTGAGTTACATTCTGTAAAATCTTTGCAGAAAGAGAACATTCCGGATTATATCTCCGAAAAGCGTTGAATTTTGTAGACATCAACGACGGGAGTCCTCTCGAAGTTTCACAAATGTTATGAGGAAGATTAGTATTTCACGGATATCTCATACGTAAACAAATAACCTTCACGTATTTAAAATGCTAGCAAGGCTTTTTCTTTATGTTAAATGTGCCACGGAACATAGATAGTTGCTCGACGTTTCTTCAGACAAGCAACGGTGTGCTACCAGGGTAACACGTGTCAGATATCTGGTGACATGGTGAACATACATAATGTACAATGTCAATGCATAGGAATAACCAGTCTTCAAACAGATGTGACACAACGCTCATGCGCCACGTAGAACATCACAGAACCATTTCAAGTTTGACAACGACGACTTTCGTTGTAGGTTTACATGACAAGCCAGAATTCCAGTACAGGGCTCAGAGGTTCGGACAACCATCCAAATAACGTAAGAGAATCAGACAACGTAAGCCTAAGCCGGTATCTACCTTTGTCCACTGACCCTAGTGCTGCGTCAGTTACAACCCGACTGACCAAGGTCATTTGTCCAATATCACTGAGAAAACTCTGTTCTTCTCTCAGCATAGCGGAGAAGATTTCAAGTAACTGTTGTCGCCAGACCCTACTACATTCAGCAATCGGCGATGGAGCGTTTAGTCTGACGTCTGTCCTTCATACTTGACTGATTATATTTTCACACTTTTTGAATAGGACCTTCAGCCTTGGTTACTGTTATTGATACAGAGGTCTGTGTATATCACGGTACCTTGTAAGTGGCCTTGTATGTTCTCATAGCTCGGATATTTTTATCAGATATATCAGGATGTACTTGTGTGCTCAATACTAACTAACCACTGTCCACTATAGTGTCCGTTTCTAGCTTATATTGAGATACCATATAACATTTCCCTTACTTCCTTTCGTCAGTACTGCCATTGGAAGAATATGCTTATGTTTTCACATTTGCCGCCTGTATTTAATAGTGGTATATAGAAGTTATTACTGAGGTCTTTTCATCCTCCTAATGATTATAATGCAGGTTAATGTCTTATAAAACTACCACAAATCAGTGTCGCGATTAGTTGATAAATTGAAACGTTTGTTTTGCATGGGATCATGTTCACTGGAAATATTTGAAGTGATGAAGAAACTACTTGACCATGACCAACAGACGATGTGGTTATTTTTACCAAGCAAACAACGCTACCCTCTGCTTCACTTGCTGGACACACAAAAGACTTTGATAAGGGAGATTGTAGACCGCCAAGTGTGTTCGTCATTGGTTTATTTTGCCAAATAATAGCTATTTTATAGGAGAGTCCCATTTGAAATAAAAACGTTTGGACAGTATAAACAGTTCACTGTGTAAGTTTCGGGTGCTACCAGTACTGAAAAACATATCAGGACATACGGTTTCGTTTAGCGAACACCCGGTGTCATCACCAATTTACAGTGATTCATTCATATAATCTGTCTTTTACTCATCAGGGAATATTCTTCAGAACATAATCAACACTCATTACTCTCTGTCGTTGACGTTTTGAAATTGTCAGCTAATGTGCAGTCCTTTTCGATTCTGAAAAAGAAGCCAAGTTGAACATACAGACAGACTTTATTCGTATATGAGGCCACGAGGCCGAGAGTACATGGCAACACAGACTAAAGTGGCGTGAGCGTCTTATGGTGATACATTTCATGTAATCGTTTGCAAGGATTCCTAGGTATAGATAGATACATATGGGTGAATGAATATACACATTGAACAATAATGTATACTTGGTGATGTACAAACGTCTTGAGCAGCAATTTAGACTTGGTGCATAAACCTGAAGGTAGACGAAAACATAGCATAATGATGCAAGGTATGTATGTAGCCTGTAATTGGGATGCGATCATTAGTGCCGTATATCCTCAACCGACAGTGCAACTACTGCACATGCAACATATCGCGATACACTAGGTGAAAGACTTTGCTTTTACGATGACGTCTCTGTTCACAAGTATATCATACAGCTCTGCGAACAAACACAAAGACGAACGCTGTATTACCTTTATCGCTTCCCTACAGGTAACCGAAGCGTGACTTGACTGGCACTCACTGAGATGTATCAAGGGCAATATCAAGTTGCCAGTCAACAGACCGTACAAGTAAACTGATTGCTTGCAGGGTCCTCCCCGACTCATCACTGCCTTTATAATCGATTGCCTCCGAAATACCCTCAATAATATCTGTATACGTCGCTTCCAATGTCGACACGATAACGTACGGGCTTTTCCAAACATCGTTGTCAAGTGTAAAGTGGACATTGCAGGTAAGTGGCCATATGTTTACATTTGACCTTGACACAGTGACATGATATCAATTACAATCATATTACTGCTAAAGACAATACAAAAACGATGGCAATGTTTGTATGGCTTCAGACTCACTGTGATGATATTTGTGAGTGTCCGTTAGGTTTAGTGGTCAGTATAAACACTGTGTATAACGAAAAACGTTTTTAAGGCTGTCTGTTTTTGTTTCGTTGTATATTCATCGCTCCGCTGAACACCCTGACACTGCGGGGCTGGCCATACTGCTTTGCGTTCAGAGTAGCAGATAGGGCATTTGAGCTTGTGCAAGGGTTTGTACATGCGTAAACAGTTATTGTATTGTGTGAAGGTTGTTTATCAATTATTTGTCATCGTGTCTTGATTCAACAGTAAAACTTGATATTTCTAAGAAATGTTCAACAATGTAACTTGATTCAGTTAAAAAAGACACCAAGAGAATGTGCTCTTCACTCCTCCAACAGGATCGATGACATCATACGTTTACAAATATAGTCTAGTCCATGTTAAAAGTAACATGGCGTCACGATTACTGTTTAGTGGCTACGATATACGTGTGTTTGTGAATTGACAACTACTATAGTAACTGGCGGCATATATGACATAACTCTCAGAGAGTGAGTTTAGTTTTACGCTGCACTCAGCAATATTCCAGCTATACGGCGGCGACCTGTAAATAATCGGATCGGGACCAGACAATCCAGGGATCAACAGCATGAACATCAATCTGCGCAAATGGGATACGATGACATGTGTCAACCCAGTCAGCGAGCCTGACCACCCGATCCCGTTAGTCGCCTCTTACGACAAGCATGGGTTACTGAAGATCAATTCTAACCAGGATCTCCACGGGTCTAACTTTGAGAGAACTAATTTATATTTGTTGTTACAGCATTTGGTCACACACTGCTTCATTAACACATAAAACTGTATGTTTAATGTGAGGCAAAATATAAAAATATATACAAAAAAATGAAACCTAGTGGTACATTCTGTGTCTTTTCAGCAGTGCAAACAATGGCCTCATTCTCTGCAATAGTGAACATTGTTCTGGTCGTTGTCATCGCTATTGGGATCCATCTCTCCGTTCACCCCGATCCTGACTCACAGATTCTGTCCCCCGAACTGAACGCCACGTATGACTATATCATAGGTAATAGAAACAAGTATAATACCTCCGCCAGAGAGGACATACCCTACTTGATGGCACTTACTAAGTAATTGGATTACATTATATGTACATTATCTATTTAATGAATTATGCATGTTTATAAATATATTAATACAAAAATATCTCACTTGTACATCTGTACATTATCCATTTAATGAATTATGCATGTTTATAAATATATTAATACAAAAATATCTCACCTGTACATCATGTAGCCATATTACTTTAAGCCGTACGTATCACGGCTTGGTATATCTGCAGTATTGTAATCTTGGGAACCAATAAAAAAAACACTCCAAAAGCCCCCCAAAACAACAACAAAAAACATTTAAAAAAAAAAAAGTAATTGGATAATTATCTTTTCGCAAATTGTGTCCATTCATATTTATCTAACGCAATTTAATATTGTGTCCACACAACACTGTCTTTGTAATGCCAACCTATATTGTTCCTTGTTCAACCATGTGGCTATCCGTATTTTTCAAAATGCCCAACTCTCTATTGTTTGTCATGTGGGGAGACTAAATTGGATCTGTACATTCATTCGTTCGTTCGTTGGTTCATTCAATAAATGGTTGTTCGTACGCTCACCGCCTACACATTACACCTGTAATGTATTTTGAAACGAAGATTTCTAGTTGGAAAAACTATTACAAGTACACACTGAAACATACAGTTTTTTTTTTTATAATTTATATTTTTTATTTCTTGCTTC